TACTCGCTTGTTTTTGTCTTCTCTCCCATGCTCTTGGCGCTAAGCGCAATTTATCATATCAGGGGATTTCTACTTCATCTGAGGGATCGGGGCCTTGGTTGAAGCAAATTTGCAAGTCTTCTATTAGTAGGTACTCTTTTAACTTTTAGTTGAGGTTTCGGCACCTCGGATTGAGCAAATTTGCAACCCTTCTATCTGTACTCTTTGCAACTTTTAGCGGGAGGCGGACAACTCGACTACACGGACAACTCACCAGAGACAACTCGACTACCTGGAGACCTGGTGAGTTGTCCGTCTTTTCGCATTTTCTACGGTGGTGTTTTAGGTCTATAGAAATGCGTTTTTGATATTTTTAGTGCTCAAATGTTGAGAAAAATACATAAATATTCTCTAGAAAGCATTTTTATTTGTATAAGTGGCTTATTTTAATCATGTTGTATGAATACAAATACAGTCTACATACGAAATTGAAGTAACGTTAGCGAAGTTAGACTGTTGACTTATAGGACTGTGTTCGTTTAATTTTATGAACTTTATTGGTATTAAATGTTTTGAATGAGCACATTTAAATATATTAAAACCTTTATACTTCACAGTAACACTTAAATATTTATGAATGTGAGCTTAGTAGTCTGTGGTTGCAGTAGTCTAAACTCGCCTTGGGCAGTCGCCCGTCAACTCACCAGTCGAGCAAACGCTCTGCGACGTGACGTCATCGATGCTCGAGGTAAAGACAACTCGACTACCGAGCAACGAGAGTCAGACAACTCACTAGTCGAGCAATCGCTCTGCGATATAGATGCTCGAGGTAAAGACAACTCGACTACCGAGCAACCTCACTAGTCGAGCAATCGCTCTGCGATATCGATGCTTGATGAGAAGACATTGCTTTGCAAAACGCAGACTCAATAGTTGCATAGCATTTACTTAGTGCCGACTGATATTAGTTGTAAGCCAACTTACCACGGCAAGGTTTCAGTCATAGAGTTGGAAATTCATTTTGCAGAAGAAAACCAGGAACAGATAGGCACTGTCGCTGCGCCTGGCAAAGAAACTGGGCCGTAGAATGGATAAAAGATGTTTACTTTTTGTTACGATTAATGAATTTATTATGATATTTAAATACTAAACGTTATGGGGAAATTTAATGGATGGAAGGTTTTGTTTTCTTTTTCGTTACGAATATTGAATTTTATTTGAATACTGAACGTTATGGGAAATTTGCTGCGTTACATACTTACTCTTTGCAATACTGCGGCCCGTAGATCCTTGAACACCTCCGAGGAAGAGAGTCCACAGATAACTCTCCTTCCTTAAACTGTTCCCAAACATGTTGCACCCTCTCGTTGGCTTCCGCATGCCTGCCGTTGACACGCCCCACAACATTCTCTTCCAAAATATCCACAACGTCCGCCTCTATCCCTATATGCATGACTTTAATCAGCGCGTTATTGAGCATTTTGCTTCCAAGAAACCGCGGCGTGTTGCATATATGTTCAAGCAGTAGAAGTCTAGCAGCATATATATCTATGAGTGAGCGACGCATGTCCTTATCTTTGCATTACCTTTCCTTTCTTCATAGTAACGTTTTAAACCTTATTTTAGGATTTGTCTGCTTTCCCGAAGTTACTGTTAATATGTCATTGTATTTATCTAGGTAAATATTGCCTTTCCTTTTGAAAGAGGTTTCAAAATAAACTATGTCTATATTTATTAATCCCTTGACTTGGACCTGTTTTAAAGACACTTTCTTATCGTTAAAAATTGTCGCTTTTGCCGATTGGTTGTTACCGATGGAATGGTTTTTATAATCATAAAATGATGGGAGAACTTACAGCGCTCATCCTATCCCCGTAGATGGGGGTGACTTGGTCCCGCAGTAGCTTGCCCCGGTTGTCAAAATGACCACGCGCCGCCACTGTCCTGACATATATATTTAATCTCTCACTATCTGGTGGATTTCATTGAAAGCTTTAAGACATCCAAAGAAATATTTATCTGTCAAATGTATTGTTATGCTGATTATGGAGTCGAAATAAACTTATACTTATACAGTGTTTTCATGAAGCAGGAGGGACTCATCTGTGACGTCTGTCTAAATTGGTTTCATCGCAAATGTTTTAATAATTCAGATGTGGCAATGACAAGGGAACAGTACAGGCTTTTAAAAAAAAAGGGGCGTAACGTTTGAGTGGAAGTGCATGGACTGCTACCAGGCCCATGACACCCATCATGACTCCAACCCGATTGTTGTATCCCAGCAGATGGAACCTAGCCGTCGGCTGGTAGACTACTCAGGTGGTGAGTTGGCTTACAACTAATATCAGTCGGCACTAAGTAAATGGTATGCAACTCTTGAGTCTGCGTTTTGCAAAGCGATGTCTTCTCCTCGAGCATCGATATCGCAGAGCGATTGCTCGACTGGTGAGTTGTCTGCCTCTCGTTGCTCGGTAGTCGAGTTGTCTTAACCTCGAGCATCGATGACGTCACGTCGCAGAGCGTTTGCTCGACTACCGTAGTGAGTGAGTTGACGGCCTGTCGGGCGACTGCCGTAGGCGAGTTTAGAATACTGCAACCATAGACTGAGCTCACATTCATAAATATTTAAGTGTTACTGTGAAGTATGAAGGTTTTAATATATTTAAAGATGCTCATTTAAAACATTTAATACTAATAAAGTTCAAAAAATTAAACGAACACAGTCCTATAAGTCAACAGTCTAACTTCGCTAACGTTACTCCAATTTCGTCTGTAGACTGTATTTGTATTCATACAACATGATCAAAATAAGCCACTTATACAAATAAAAATGCTTTCTAGAGCATATTTATGTATTTTTCTCAACATTTGAGCAATAAAAATATCAAAAACGCATTTCTATAGACCTAAAACACCACCGTAGAAAATGCCAAAAGACGGACAACTCACCAGGCCTCTAGGTAGTCGAGTTGTCTCTGGTGAGTTGTCCGTGTAGTCGAGTTGTCCGTCAGCCCTTTTAGCTACCGGTACCGGTACGGATCGGGACGTTTCTTTGAGCAAACTTGCAACTTTTCTATCAGCACTCTTTCCACTTTCTGACTTTTAATTGAAGGCTTGGGACATTGCTTTGAGAAAACTTGCAACTCTTTTATCAGTACTCATTTAACTTTCAGTTGGGGGTTCGGAACCTTGCTTTGAGCAAACTTGCAACTCTTTTATCATATACCGACGTACCGGGTACCGTACGCTTTCTACTTTTAGTTGAGGGTTCGGGACCTTGCTTTAAGCAAACTTGCAACTCTTTTATCATGTACCGACGTACCGGTACCGTACACTTTTTAGTTGAGGGGTACCGTAAAAGCAGCCAACTTCGGATGATTTCACTATATTTTAATCAATAACTCTGCCGTTTGTTGTCCAATTCGCGTCAAACTTGAAATAAATTACATTGATGTAATTCTCTGCATCTGCATATAATTTTCTGGACGATCGGATCATTTTTTCTGTCTTAATTGTCTCATTTTCTGTGATCTGTAACGACGCAAATAAATATCTAACTTCGGATGGGTGTATCCCCTCTCTGCGTCACCGCAACTAGAGCGAAAAGTACGTGCGTGAGGACAAAACACGCTTTAGGTCGTTGCGTAAATGCCAGATGTTCACTCCACGTCACGAGTGACGATGATAATGTCGACTGTGGGATTACCAGCGCGGCACTTTCAAGTTGTTTTTTACTAAAATGTCTCGTTTTATTTTCTCTTATCGTAACTTTAGATCCGAATATTCACCGATCATAGTCGATTTAGTTATAGCCGATGATGTTTTGATAGCGTTTTTTACACTCCACACCATGTATAGTCGCACAATATATATTATTGAGCATGCACATTACCGCACTCTTTATTAAATTGACCTATTCAAATGTCGGCCGTGCATAAATCACGACAAAACACCGATTTGGCAATTGGCAACTTTATTAAAATTACTTTCGTTAAATTCACGAAACGGAACTCAATTTATCGCTGGTTATATATTTTTATATTTACGGAATATTTCTCGACTGCTCACAATTTTTCTATTTTGAACCATGTTGCCGTACCAAATGGAGAAATTTGAAATCGTCAAATCGAATGGATATGCTTTTCATTAATTGCCATTTTTAATAAATTTAATTGAATTACATTTCCAGCATTTGACGCCATGAATTTACGATTCACAGAAAATTGTTGATGCGTATATTTTAGCCGATATTGATCAATCGAACAAAATATCGTTATTATTTTCAAATCTACGCCAACTCGTCGGCGCCCGAATGTCTGGCGTCAAATCTGTAATGGCGACGCTACATGACAGCGTCTTCCAAGTGAGCGACGTTAGGGTGACGTCAAGTTCAATGTGTGCGTCAGATGCTATTATTGTGATAAAAAAAATTATTCAAATTTTAATTTTTTTTCGGGTCTCATACGACATCTCGCGATCAGTCTAATTTTCTATATACATTGATAACGCCCTCTATCGAATAACGCTATTTTGACGAAATTAGCATCAGTAGAAGTCACGATATGAGCCGCTTGAAAACGGAGTGTCAATTTTATGCAAAAACGTGATTTTTTTAATCAAAAAATAAATTAAACTGCCCGATTGAATATGATAACAGATTTAGATATATAAGTCCTCACTATAGAAACTGCCATAAGCACAATATGACGCAATTTAGTCGAGATAAAAACGATTAAAAATTTCATCTGAAGTTACAAACCATCCGAAGTTACCTGCTTTTACGGTAGTGACCTTGCTTTGATTGAGCAAACTTGCAACTCTTCTATCAGTTGCTTGGAATAACTGCCGTCGTGCCAGATGCCCTGGTTTTGGAGACAAATAGAGTGTTTTCTGTGTTGAACCAAATTTCGAATTGGATAACTGTGCCATATTAAACTAATTCAATGAATCGAACCACTCCAACGATTTCTATTTCTCTATATTCTGTTGCATTTACTGAATTTTAACCAACTAAAGAGTTTTATTACACTTTTAGTTCAGAATATCTAATTTCTAAATCTGTTATAATTAAACAGCACTACTGCACTATGACTTCAAAATCATTCCATATTTTATTGTGCTGTACCGGAAGTGTGGCGTGCTTGAAGATACCTTTACTAATACCAGCTTTAAAAGAGAAATTTGCGGGGTGTGGAATTAAAGTGGTACTTACGGAGAATAGCGAACATTTTTTGAATTTGGAAGAACTTTCTAAGGAAGCTACCATTATAAAAGACAAAGAAGAGTGGAATGTATGGAAAAAACCTGGCGACAGGGTTCTTCATATTGATTTATGCAACTGGGCCGACCTGGTACTATTTGCACCTCTGGATGCAAACACTTTAGCAAAACTAGCGAACGGTTTATGCGATAATTTAGTATCGTGTATCGCACGAGCTTGGGATTTTAATGCCAGACCGGTAGTGTTTTGTCCGTCCATGAATACCCAAATGTGGCTACATCCAGTTACTGCACCCCAAGTCGAAACCCTTAAAAAGTGGGGCTGTAAGTTTGTCTCCCCAGTCGTGAAAGTACTAGCTTGTGGGGCTGAAGGAATCGGTGCCATGGCTGAAATCGAGGAGATTGTTGAAGCTGTCAGTCAAAATGCTCCAAAATAAAAAAAAATTGAAAAACTTCGAAGTTATCATTGTAAATGTCCATATCTGGATAATGTCACATTCTGAAATTCTGCATTGCAATCAATTTATATTCAGAACATTCAGGTCGGACGAGTAAATATAGGGTGTCCATAAAGTTTCAAAATTTTTTTAAATTGTAAAGCGAATTTATCGATACCATATATTGTTTGACCCTCACAGATGTAATGAATTGAGTAAAAATACTTGCACATTTTCTGATTAAAAAAACAACAAACCTGGTTAAAATTTATTGAGAACTGAATTCATAACAAAATTGAAATTGTAAAGGGACTTTATGGACACCTTGTATAATAAATTTAACTCCTATGTAATTTTACTGCAAATAACTCATATTTTACATGTAATCAGGGAATTTTACAGTATATATTCTTGAGGAAAACTTACTTAGATAACCTTATTTTCAGTTTTGTTTAGAACCAAATTTGCCTTGTTATCATGTGTTATTATTTCAGCAGTCTGAAATAATGCTGTCTTAAATCAAAATTCATCAATTTCATGTTATTGAATCTCAGACAAAAGCACACTAATAAAAAGGCAATGAATATTGTGTAATATTTGAAGCATTTCGGTACAACATGTCAACATACACATTTTTCACTTAGCAATCAATGGTCAATAACTAAGCAGAATTATTTCATACCTCTTGGCTATGTCACTGTCAGTCACAGTCCATTGATTTTTGAGATAGAAAAACATTTTTTTGTTATGTATTATCAACTATTAGTTCATGTGTGTTCCAATTTATGCACTTTTTTCCTTCATTCTGAAGAGATGAATATAATTTCTTGTTCCATTCCTATTCTATGTCCAATAATCCAAGAATACACTTTCTTATCTTTCATTTTTTCATCAGATATGTAATGTACAATATGAATAAAGCATTTCAAAGAAAACTCTCAGCTTTGCAATTCCCACAAGCCTCAAAGTTCAATGCAAATGGTGAGGAGTTGTTTTGTTCTTGTGTAAAGATTATAAAATTTATAAATGTAAGGGGCGGGCAAGACAGCGAGATGAACGAGGTTAACTGACAAATTTTAATTTCAAAATACAGACTTTAAAGTTTGAAAATGAATTAAGAGACAAAGTTTGTTGAAAGACGAGGCTCCTATGGCTTCAGCTTTGTCTAGGTCAGTGGTTCTCATTCTTTTTTTCTGTCGTGGCACATTTTTGTTGCACAGGAATTCCGTGGCTCATTAACTTTTCCATGCCAGGGTATAACTACAAGAACAAGAGAGCTACGCCCAAATGTATGGACACGTCTGTTCGCAGTACAGTACGGTTTATCGCACCGACAGATCACAGTCTACAAATATATTCACACCAAGCGAAGCAGTACAGTCGGACACAAAATGGCGTCCGATGTCCGCAGAACGTTCGGTGACGTCATAGCAAACAAAAACAAATCTCACAGAACTAACAGAAATATTTGAAATAAATAAAAGTAATAGCCTTCTGGAGAAAAATTTTATCTGTAACCACTGAAAATTTCAGAGCAATTGGTCCAGTAATCAAAAAGAAAAGCGACTTTTTAGATTTTCCACTAGGTGTCCAAAAAGTGGTGTCAAAGAACAAGAACAACAACATAATATTGAAACGATCGCTATGTCCACTACGTGTCCAAAAACAAATGAATCTTCCTACAATAAAAAAAAAAATTCACTTGAATAATTAAAATTACCACTCTGCAGCTAACAACAGCAGCATCATTTTAACTATAGTGACACAAATAAAACTAAATTTTCGATAACTCTTGCAATTTTTGACAGGTTTTTATGGCCCAGTAGTGAGCCATGGCCCACTGGTTGAAAACGGGTGCTCTCGGTAAATCTGGCATCAAGACTCCTTTTTTGGTCAAATAAACAGATTTGCTAGTTCAATTGCTTCTGTTTATCATGACACATTTTTTATTTTTCCTAGATGACAAACAATTCAAACTCATCATACTTTGGATAGAAGACCAAAAGGTTCGACATTACAAAATCGATGAAAGACAAGAATTAAGGAAATTTGAGGTAATTGGTTGTTTAATATTAAAAAATTGATCCAAATTGACTTCCAATTATATCGCAAAATATAAAATCAATCATAGCAATGTTCATTCTAACTTTTCAGTATGACTAAATGGAATCATAATGGGAGCCTCTTCCCCGAAGTATCCAACTGAATATCCCCGAGGCCAGTTGCACTCATATTCTCATATGAAGACCCTCCCCCTAATTAGCATATTCAAGGTAATTTCGCAAATTTTTTTATCGAGCTGAACCCAGTCCAGAATATATTCAAATTGGTTATTATCTCAGTTTGAACACTTGGACAAATTTGCTCACTAACTTTTTCTGTTGTCTGATTTGTAATGTTTTTAGGAGCCAGCATGGACAAAAGCATTCACTAAATATTTGACGGATGTGATGTGTCCTTTCTCATCTAGCGATAAAATGTCCGCTCTCGATTGGCTACTGGGACTTGCTGTCAGACTGGAATACGGCGATAATGGTGAGTTGCTAGTAGGTCAGTCGTTTTGTTCATCTGTCTGTCTGTATGTTTAGCTCTAGCGCCTGGACCGATCTGGATGAAATTTCTAACAAGGGTTATGCTTAAACGTATCTAAATGGCCCATTTCTGTTAGTAAATATTGTTCGGCTTCCTTTGTATTTGTATGATTCAATGTTAGACTCCCTCAAAGGTGACGCTGCTTGATAACCATCACCATGATTTGTCGTGTCTCCCTTCGCACTGAAATACATTATTTTCATTCTAACTTACTGTTTGTATACTTTTTTATTTTCGTTATTTGAAAAAAAAATTACTGACTGACTGCTGTCATCCTAGTTACGTGCGTTTCGCCGAAAGTCTGAATTGATGTTCCGTTCCCATGGCATCAGTGAAAAAACGTGGCAATTGTTGAGAAATATCTAGTTTTTCCACAATTCGTCGCCATTATCTGGTAAACTACCTCAAAAATATAGATTCTGAGATCGTTTCGGAGTCTTGGTCACCGCAATACCTCGTTATATGTGCAATTTTGCGTGGATGGTATCGGTCTACTGTCGCCTGAAACTTCTGTATACTGAAATGAACCATCTTCTCCTCTCATATCATTCACATTTATTTGTGATCTTCTCAATTTTCTTTCAGTTGAAAAATACTCAAAAGTAACAGGTCAAGCTGTCCAAGAGAGACGGAAAAAAGCATCAGAGCCTGTTGCAGCATCATCTATTGAAAATATAAGTTGTGAGTATTTCTTGCATTTTTTTTTACATTTTTATTCATTTTATTCCACATTGATTTGTGGTTTAGAAAATTGTAAACGGTGACCCAAATAATACAGAATCCATAAATTTCTTAATTACTTTCAGAAATATAAGGGAAGTCTATTTAACACTTGAACATCTTCGTGTGTGTGGTTGTACACTTTGTACAAAATTTATGTTTTCTCTAGAATAGAGGTGGGCAACTTACAGCTTACAGGCAAGATTCGGCCCGCAGAAGTGTTTTATCAAACTCATTTGTGCCTGTCAAAATTACAACTATTCCTATATGAAATGGTTTCTTATGAAAATAACTTTCTAGCTTACAGGCAAGATCCGGCCCGCAGAAGTGTTTTATCCAACTCATTTGTGCCTGTCAAAATTACGACTATTCCTATATGAAATGGTTTCTTATGAAAATAACTTTCTAGCTTACAGGCAAGATCCGGCCCGCAGAAGTGTTTTATCAAACTCATTTGTGCCTGTCAAAATTACGACTATTCCTATATGAAATGGTTTCTTATGAAAATAACTTTCTAGCTTACAGGCAAGATTCGGCCCGCAGGAGTGTTTTATCCAACTCATTTGTGCCTGTCAAGTTACGACTATTCTTATGAAATGGTTTCTTATGAAAGTAACTTTCCGTTGAAAATATTGATGAAAATAATGTCATAATGAACCGATTGTTATGTTGCGCTTTTTAACATTATATAATATTGTCCACTCCTGCTCTCCAATATGTTTCAAATGACCTGGGTTCTATTTTTTTTTTGGAGTTCCCGGTGCTCCAGAAATATGTGTACTAATATGAAGGTAACTAATTTTGTTTGCCTACTTTAGATCAAGTAATGTAAAGGGACTGAAACCTATGGGCAGGGGGTTCACTTGGCCAATACGAACAGTCCTCAAACTCGTAATAGAACTGAAATAAGAAAAATCGGGATAAAATAATCGCCTAAACCTAACCTGGTACACATACTACAGGATTACTGAGTTCCCTGTATTCAAATTCATTTTTATAGCCTAAGTATGGTATTTTTCACACCTAGCAAGCGACCCAAACTTCAGGAAAGGTCTCGAATCAATGGCGAAGGCCCTTCAAATACCTCTGCATGAAGATTATATGGTAACGTTAAAAGCAATAAGAATTCTGGTAGAAGAAAGACTAACGAAATCTGCAATTGAAAAGGCAAAAGATAAAAAAACAGAAAAAGGGGTAGGTACTGTAATTCCTGGCTAATAGGGCTACCTGACAAATATGACGAAGAATATTTTTAGCACTGAAAAAAAGGTTTTTTTCAATATGGCCTTCCAATGAGGTGGGGCAGAAAAATTTGCTTCTATGTTCATAATTTTTGGTTAGAACCAATGTTTGTTTCAGGTAGAATCATACTCACATTATTCTTAATATTAAGTAATTTTAATAATTTTGATTTATTTTTTTCAGGTGACAAGGATTCCTATTGAGGACAATGAACTAGGCTTTGATACCGGAGGTAAGTTGAATAAGTTAAGAATGTTTGGTGCTAGGACTATTCCGCTCATGAAATCGGTCCTTGGAAAATAGTGTGGAATACTTAACCTGAAGATTAGATTTAGGTATTTATCCTGAGAAAGGGAAAATCCGTTAAGACATCTTAATCATATGGAGAGCCACGGCCTCTCATCCGTAGTTCGTACCAGTTCATGTCAGGTATTGGATCAGTTAACCAGCGATTTGCTCTCAGATTTATAGACTTATCGCCGAACAGCGGTTACGTGAATCACCCTCCCTATTTTAACCTCCATTTTAAGGGGCTTTTTGATTGATTCTTTGTATACTGTTATATTTTTGAAAGAAAAAATTTCAAAAATTAACCACGATTGAGGGAGAGAATCCATGGGGAACCGATAGTGTTTATGTAGCAGTGGCATTCAAAGCTCGGCGGTGTGGCACATCATGCTAAGTGTTAGAAATACACACTCCACAGCACCTCTGATTACCCTAAATTCCACATGGGGATAGTTATGTGCGAGATGATTGCTGGACTCCTCCCCGCCCTAGGGTGGTTCACGTAACTGTTAGTCATAAGCTTCCTCCACTATTATGTCCATGCATCTGAAACAAATCATTTGCTAACTAATCCGATACGGTGCCCAACATGGACTGGTAACCGGACATAATTCGCCATGTATTATTGGCTTCCCCATCCACATATATTCATTTATTTCTCTCATTTTCAGATGAAATTCTCAACGACGCTGCTCGAGCTCTCCGTTTACTTCATATTAACGAACTCAGAGACTTACAAAATAAAATTAACGAAGCAATAGTCTCCGTACAGACTATAACCGCTAATCCTAAGACTGATCAGAGGCTAGGAAAAGTTGGAAGATGAAATTAACCTCAAAACAGACAAGAATAGGCTGATTACAGACTACTTACACTAAAACACCATTCTAGGCAATTGTATTTTCATTATTTGGTTACTGAGTGCTTGGCCAGCGTGGGTAAGCTTTTGAACAACGCACAAATCAAAGATGTCTATATCGGAATAGTTTGGTAATCTAGAATTACATTACGTTAATTTTGATTTTTAGATGTCTCACACCAAACTTTTATTCTGTGTTTTGTAAAGTCAAACTACTTCAGACAAAAGTTTAATGAATTAGCAACATGAAAAATTACAAAATAGAATTACAGAAAGTGTGACACCAGATCTTTCAACTTATACATAGCCACTTTCGATTCATGTTACAGTTTCTTTGCAATCAGTGTATATGGTTTCACTAACCCAAAGGTAGAGAAAAAGGTACATGTTGCTAGATCATACATGCCTAAAATCATATTATTTGTCAACTTTATAGGAGTATTACATGAGTCGTGGCTTTTGAACAGAGTGTTACGTGTGAATGTCAAATCCAAATAGTGCAGTTAGTCTAGTGGATATCATTCTGCACAATTCTCCCTGTACTGTAGTTTTCTACTGTAGTGTTCTATTGTTGAATGTTTTAGTAGTTTTCACACAGGGTATATGAACATTGGACATCCTTGTTGTCATAATATTGAATTGTTCCGTTGCTGTATTTGCTGCTTCAATTAGCTGCAAGGTGTCGTTGACTAGATGACTCTTTGAGTCTTTCGTGACCACCTGTCAACTCACATGCAACATATCTGTTTACGCAATTTGTAACATGCATTTTATTTATTGCATATTGTGTATTGGTTTCGACGACGAAAATAAATGAGTATCTTAATCTTCTGCCACTTAAAACTTTCCACGCATGTTATTCAGTCGTGCAATGGAAAGTGCACCTGTGAAGTATACCTTTGAGGCGTCAATCATCATGTCTGTTCATCTCATTTAGTGTACACCTTGTTGTCCAACTATTCCATATTTTTTCTGCTACTTTAAACATTTTTTTGTTTTTAATTATAGGTGCTGCTTAAATTCATTTCATGTGTCAAACTTTAGTTGCAATAAAAAACAAAAATTCAATTATTCTTTTTGATGTGGAATTATGAGTTTTCAACTTTTGCTCTTTAGTAGAACTGAGAATAAAGAGTTGAATATCTCATGAATTGAAATTTAAAAGGCCATACAAACAGTAGGGCTGGGCATTTCGAATCGAACAGTAAATTTTTCGGTTCAGAGCTAAATTTCGAATCGCCGCCATCTTGTTTTTATCTTTTCGCTAATCTTCAAGGTGAATTCTCAATTTTTTTTTCAATGGAGTCATATTTTTTTAACGAAATTCTAACATATGACTATTTTCTTATTGATATAACGTGTTTGTTATTCTGTGTGAACGCTCAGTAATCTATCTGAGTGATTTGTTCTATGTCTTCAGTAATTCATTTGTTGAGAGGACCAATTACTATAACAAAATCGCTTACAATTATATATTTTCAAGTATTCGAGATTCGATTCGAAAAAATTATTCGATTCGATTTTGAAATCACAAGGTATTCAAAAATGCCCAGCCCTAGCAAACAGTCTTTCTGATTTGGTATTTTATACCAATTAATACATCCCTAACAACTACATCTCAATGGCTCACTGCTTTCTTGTCAAAAACATCCGGATTCCATCAGCAAACAGGGTTCTCGCTAACTTAAAACTACTTGCTTTGTACAAAGCATTACTTTTCCATTCAATTGAATTCAGTCGGGATATGACTAAACGAATCGTGTAACTCAGATTTGGAGAATCTGAGTGCAGGACACTAGTCAAATCTCACAAGTCTATGACTGTTGTATTCTAATCTCGTAGCCTGATTTAATTTAAACGCAAATTAGTGGTTGAAATCTTTAACAACGTGCCTCATTAAACAAGTCCCGTCCCGGATAGCACCCTTTATGAGGAGATGTTTAAGTCTGTTATGTATAGCCATTGAAGTACTTACTGTCTTTAATATAATCAGTCTAAGATCACTCTCTAAAATCTCGTAGCAATATTTTGTTTTATGTTAACAAGAGTTCATTTTATGCGATATTTTTAACATATAGGCCTACTCTTAGAACTTATATATTTATCCCGGGGGAGAGAAAAGGGGGCTTCCGAAGTATGCGAACCAAGATGGCGGACATCGGAATGTAATATGTGTACTAGGTTAGGGTTAGGCCATAATTTTAGGTATAAATACTACGAAAGGCTCTTGGCTAGTTTTCGAACTGATAATAGGACTAAAATAAGGAAAATTGGGAAAAAATTATCGCCTAACCCTAACCTGTTACGTTCCGATGTCTGCCATCTTGGTTCGCATACTTCGGGAGCACCGAGAAAAGACGGCTCAATCATAAAGACATTCTGATGCATGGAGTTGATGGAGTCGTAATACGTGAACTACCCTATAAGAGCGAAGGGTACTCCTAACACTTAGCATGAAGCGTAGCCGAGCTCAAGATCTCGCTCCCTATATGGTGTCAACTTAATTAGGTCTAATGCTCCAAATTTGAAAGAACTACCTATATATCTTGTCCGGTTTTTTAGCCCCAGAAAACCTTTTAAACACTAATTTCATCTTAAAACTCGCGCACCAAGAACAAAACTATCACAAACATTCCAAATTTATTTATTTTTTTGAAAAATCCAATAGGTCACACTTCAACAAACAAGCAGCGTTATTCATGAATACCGAGAAAATAATCAAATGATTCGACAGAAATTTAAGAGGAATTCTCTAGAAAAGGGGTGTGCAACCTTAAATACAGATGGGCCAGATACAAACAACTGGGTGAAACTACGGGTGCACCTTTATTTAACATTGACTTTCTACCAGTTGAGGCACAAAAATTTTAGCTACCGGTACTAGTCGAGGCTCATCACCTGTGTTGTTCAATTCGCAAAAGCTAGATTTTAAACGTCATAGATAATAATTTAGACTCTGGTGTAGGCTTTGCAACGCAAGGGAATGGAATTACCAGATTACAATGTACCGGCTCTAACTAAATTAAAAAGGTAGGCCGTACTTCTCCGTGGGCAGCACAATTTTTCCTTGTGTTTGAGCATTCGCCCTGCGGGCCGCAGGTTGCACACCCTTGCTCTAAAATATCTCACCAAATTTCAATTGGACACAAAAATTAACTATTACATCACATATCCAGATCACGCCAAGTACAACGTTTGGGAGTCTCTTCAAAACTTTTAGTCAAATCAGTTTATGCTACAGTTGGAAATTCTGGTGAATAGCGAGCAACCATTCTCTTTCCACTACATTTTAGATCAGAAAAATGCCGCAAACTGGTATTTTATTGCCATCAAGGCATGAAAAAGTAGTCTAGCGGCAAAGCAAAAGAGTAAACTTGGAGGGCAGCAGTGCCCAGGACAAATCTTGGAAACCGACAAGACTTTTCATACATAGCGGTAGTAGGCTTAGGTTTCAAGAAAGCATGTAAGATGGAGAGCCAGAGTGTTATTGAAAAAAATTTTATTTCTCATTTTTAGATAGGCATGATTTAGGAAGCACTTGAAAGGGTAGAAGAGAGAAAGCTAGCAAGCGAGCTTACTTCCACAGCGCGAACCAAATTTTTTGGTCGGTTTGCAAGTCCAGGGTGGGTATCAGAATCTAGGGTACAGTCCATAAAATTTGTGGCAGAGTATATCAGTAATGTACCAAAGCCCTATTTCAGAAACGTATATTTTCCAAAAAAAAATTTCCAAATCTCTGGCTCCCATTTTGAATTCCTTGAATTCCAGCATTTACGATGTTTGTGATGTATCCATTGCTTCAGAATCTGCGTCTTTTTCCGTCGCTTTCTCGTACGCTCGATCACTAGGTGTCACTACAACTCCATTCCACACAGACATCTCCGTTGCAATCGTTGTTTCTCCTTCCAGTCCAAGAATCGCTCGGAAACCTCCGTGAGCTAAAACTCGGAGCAAGGTCTGGGCTGTGTAACAAACCTATAAGAAAAGACAAAAAAAATTGAGATTTAAACGAATCTTTCATTATTTGAAGATATTTTTAAAAGCGTTTTCACCTTTTACTCAGAGCAAGGCTACAAACAATAAAGTATGGATATATATGAACTGTCCGCATTAAACAGTGACTGTTATGATAGCGACTTAACTAGTGTTCACTGAGTTGAACTTCTTGGTTGGTCGTTGGAAGGTAACGCTATGTCGCGTCTCTCATTAATTTGAAGGTCGTTTGAAAAATTTGCCCCAATAGATTTCATAACTTCAAGAAAAGGAAGTGACATGATATGTCAAAGGCCTTTTGTACAGGAATGACAAATCAAAGTTAGGGTTAGGGTGTGTGTGGGGGGGGGGGGGGGGGGGGTGAAAGAGCATGTGTGCGCGTAAGCCTTGGATTTAATAAAGGAAGTGATGTCGCTGTTGTGGCAGTCGCTGTTTTAAATGAATCTCTGTCGTGTAGTCGCTCTATTTACAGTCGCTGTTTTAAATTAGTCGCTGTCGTGTGGTGGCTCTATTGACAGTCGCTGTTCTGACAGTCGCTATTTGGAACCCGAGCACTGTTGCAGACCTAACCTACAAAGGGCACTAAGAGTTGAACTCCTGAGTGGATGTGATAAAATAAAAAATAAATATGCAGGTTGTCCATGAAGTCCCTTTACAATTTCAATTTTGTTATGAAGTCAGTTCTCAATATACCAGGTTTGTTGTTTTTCAATCAGTAATTGTTTAAGTAGTTTTACTTTATTTAATGCATCTGTGAGCGCCAAAACAAGATATGGTGGATAAATTCCTTTTGCAATTTAAAATTTGTTAGGACACCATATATACTTTGTTATGGACACCATATATACTTGGATAAATCCCGTCACATACTAAGAAAGTATGCCTACCATGTCCTGTTGTTCCAAATTCATTACTGTATGAACTCTAACATTTCCACTTTCACACGGGTCAACGATTCCTGCTGAACCAGGAAGGAAAAAACCAGAAGAGAGAAGTTGAAGACATCGCCTGTTACAAATTTCATTTATTTATTGACAAGGTGATTCGAAAACAGACAATGTCAATGCTTGGTTATGAATTCACTATTCAAGGCGTCTATTTTTCTGCAAATGGTACGGAATTTTACGTGAATGTTGGAGTTTGTTAAAGTTTATTTATTCATCGACAAGGTCATTAGAAAACATAGGTCAAAGGCATCTGCAGATGGTACAACATTTTACTTCAATGTAGGATTATATTTAAATTTATCTATTTATTGACCAGGTTATTTAAAAATAGACAAGCTCAAAGACATGCTGGGTTGTGAATTAATCCTTGAAGGTATCAATTTTTTCGCCAATGGTGCGAGAAGAGATTTCCTAAATTCAATAAAAATCCCCCAAAATTTCTCACAAACGAGAGAAATTCCCACAAGAAGTAAAAAACCCAATACTTAAATGATAATGTTTTCTTGAACTAACCTGAAAGCTGCATTAATCGGGAGAGGTTGCCTGCTTGGCGTATTCATGATCGCATGGTGAGCTAGCAAGTCTATTATCCACATTGTCAAAGGCTCGAGCCCTGCAAATCTTGATCGGAGATCTTTCAGGAGACGAATCAACATCTTGATGCTGGAAAACAATTTTTTATTTATTTATTAAAATTCCTCTCGGAACAAGGCAATGAGCAAGCAGGTGCAATAGTCTAGTTCAGGGCTACTCAACTGGCGGACCGCGGTCCAAATCCGGACCTTTTGGGTATTCGATTCGAACCGCGTCTAATTCTTTATTTTGAATTATTAGCTGCACTTTTGAAGTTTCCTTTTATAAAGTCCCTTTTATAGATTTAAATATATCGACACCTCAAAACCAAACAGTGCTAAGTCCACTTTTCCAAAAAATGACATTTTTCAATTGCTGATTTTCCTGGACTTAGCTCTACATTTTGGTCTATTTGCCTTATCTCTAGGTGCTCTAGATCTCGAGACAGCTATAGACATAACCCTGCTTTTTTTAGGGCATTTGAGAACTAAACAGAGCTGTGTCTACTATAGTGGACTTAGCTCTGGATAACTGCATTGTAAGTTGGGGCAAAGTTCGTTTTTTGGACATAGCTCCTCTCAAAAAATATAATACAAAGCGCTAAGTCCATACCAGCCTCTATAATAACATAATAAAGGGGCCCCAAGTCCAATGCAATTGTTTCTGGTCCAGAAAATTGAGCCAGAAAGGGTTAAGTCCAAAAAAAAACCCCCCTAAAAAAATTGGGGCGGAGCACAAATTTTTTTATACCATCTAAATATGGCCTTCATTGTAACTTTGGTGGATCATAAAAACTAGACATCCTCGATGTAAGGTATTGAAGAAAAAAAAAAAAAAGAAACAAAAAAAAACGTTTTTTGCGTTTTTCTCAAAACTAGAAAAATGGACTTAGCCCAATTTGGATTTCATGCGTCGATATATGAAAGATCTATAACACCACAACAAACAATCTTGATTAGCTAATGATCATAAGTCGGCCGTGGAAGTGCGTGTTTAAAGATGCCGAAATATAATTTCTGGAAAGACCAGACCCAAAAAATTTTGAAGTTTTATATGCGGATCTTCGGTAAAAATAGTTGAGTAGCCCTGGTCTAGTTCACAGTGGTTCCCGACCTTTTTAAGTAGGAATTTGGCAAGTCTCGTGCCCCGCCACAAAAAATAGCTAGCTAACACTAAGTTTCAAATAACAGATAGGGAAGCAAAAGTATGTTGTATTTAAAAAACATGTTGAAAATCTGTGGATGAAATAAATGAAGAGTTATAAAAACAAGCAAAACAAATACTTTTATTTTTTATCAACTTCACGCCCCTTCAAACAATTGTCTACGCTCTCCTTGTGGGTTGCTCCTCACCGTTTTAGAACCACTGTTCAATAGCCATTAGTTATGTTACTGTACTGCTAGGTCATAACTCACTTACCTTGAATGAAAAGCATTTTCCTCGAACCATCTGACATGACGAATAGCAGCGAGGGATGATTGCAGTATCTTGTGACTCATATGAGTTGAGGAATCCAGCTTTCTCATGTTTCCTGGGGGAATTGCAATCCCCACTGAGACTTTATCCTGGAAAAGAAAGAGTTACTTGTAGAAATTTGATCAAAGTGATATTGTGTGACATTTACTTCCAACTTTCTCATGTTTCAAGGAATTGCGATCCATACTGAGAATTTATTACTAAGACTTTAAAAGAAAGAACTACTTGTAAGAATTGGATCGATATTACACATGTTCACCCTAAATAGAAAGGGGACTCATCTCAAAGAAAAGCTAGGAGGAATCACTGCAATGCTACCAGTTACTGGAAACAGGGGTGAGGGGGGGGTATTTTTTGAAGCTAGAAATGCTTTTTAGTTTTTAATAAAGACTCTTTGAAACCCACGTTGATCTTCTGATGATCTATAAATTGCAGCAAATTTGAAAAAATCTGTCGTTAAATAATTTTGGTTTCCCGAAGTGGCGAACAATCTGAACATGTGTACCAGGTTAGGGTTATCAGGTTGTGCACCAAGCCATCTTGGTGCACATACTTCTGGAGCGCCATAATTCAACCCAAGTACAGAGTTAAAAGTCTTTAGAAGCATGGAATGAATTAAAAAAAGCAGAGTATGTTCACTACAGCACCATGCTAGCGAGTCTAGAGTCTTGTTAGTGAAATTGAAGTAAACAGTCTCAATATTTAAAGTCTTTGGAAGCAAGAAATGAATTGTAAAAGTAGGGTATATTCACCATAGTACCATGCTATTGAGAATCTTGTTAGAGCTGGTATAAAGTGAAATCAAAGTATACACGAAAGTGAACACTAATTAACAGCCTTGCAATGAGCTAATATAGATAAAATCATATAGTTTCATACCTGACCATCAATGAGCTCAAATCCATTCTCTGTTTCGGTCATTGTAAGTGTGATTTCAGAATCCTCTCCCTTCTTTACTGTTTCAATAATCTGGAATATTTATTCATTAATTATACAAAAGATGTTAAATTGGGACAAATTATGATATCTGTCACATAAACCAGGGGTGTGCAACCTTTAATACAAGAGGGCCAGATTCAATAACTGGGTGAAACTGCGGGCCGAACCCTTATTTAACATGGGCTTTTTGTAGTTGTAGGGACGAAACTACTGATTATAGATCTTATGACATGCGTTGTTCGCATCGCACAAGCTAGCTGTTAGAGCATTGTAACATCCTAGGCATGGATATTAAGTTGGACTCAAGTATAGGCTATGCAACGCAAAGGTATTGGAATTACTTTTAGCAGATTAAATAAAATTGAAAACTCGTATCACAGGCCACACCTCATAATTGAAATTTAGCACTTCTCCACGGGCTGCATAATTTTTCTGTGTGGGTCACATTCCGCCAGCGGGCCGCAGTGATATAATACCATTAAGTAGTTTCAACTTTCCAGTATGCTTCTCACATTTAGTTGAAGACTTAGGATCTTTAGCAAGAAAACATGCAACTCCTCTATCAGTGGAGAGTGGTTCAAAAGTCTAATATCACATTTTCACAAATTTTATTTTGTTACATTTCGTATGACTAAAATCAAAACTACTATGAAATACAGGGTGTCCATAAAGTCCCTTTGTATTTTGTTATAAAAACAGGTCTCAATATATCTCAACCAGGTTTGTTGTCTTTTAATCAGTAATTGTTTAGGTATTTTTACTTTATTCAATACATCTGTGAGGGCCAAAACAATGTATAGCATCGATAAATTCCGTTTGCAATTTAATAAATTTTAGAACTTTACGGACACTCTATAAATGTTTTGTCGGCAAGGGACCTTGCTTTAACCTAGACTTATTTCGAAACTTGAATTGATATTCAGGTTGTAACTTCAACCTCACAGCCACAAAAAGTGCTGTTTTTAATTTTTTGTGAAAACTTTTTGATTAATTGTATTGCCTTGCCTTTAAAACGCTTGTAACACTCGACAAGAGTTTCCTAAATTAGCAAAGTTTATTTATGCATGTACAATGCACAACATTCAGTATTTTACGAATGTCATGGTTATATTCAGAAACATGCAAAATTTTATTATTCTGTGATAGGATTTCCATTTTTATTTAGAGAAAAAGAGAGGGGAAAACCAGTGAGATGACTCTACTAAAATGATGAAGCCCCGTCTCTCAACTGGAGACCAGTCAACGTTTTGAATAAATAATTCTGATATTTCAAATTTTTGTGTTTAACCTAAACGAGGAAGGACAAAAAAAGCGCCTAATGTATGGCAAACTGTGGCCTCTCGTCCAGGTACCAGCCCATGTCACAGAGAAATAATATTCCATGACAAACTGTTTCTTAGTTAGAATAGTCTTAAGATATGGACAGATCCCGAAGACACAATATAAGAAGATTGATGAAAAGCTTGTTTGCCGCCTGAGCTCGAACCGGGGATCTTCCATGTGTAAAGCGAACGTGGTAACCATTGCACTACAGAGAAAGATCTATTAATATAAAGATATTCAATCTACATAAAAGTTGTATATTTTGGTCCCAATTCCAAACTATTTATTTCCGATCTATTAGGTTGGTTGCATCACAAGTTAATAAAATCTAGAATAATAAAGATAATCTAGGTAATAAATTTGGAATGTAATGTCTGACCAGAAAGATAAGGACTTTAGAATCAGTAAATTCATGTGTAACAGTGAAGTTTGTTTAAAACAGAGGTGCATAAAACGATTTGGTATGAGAAAAACTTTAACACAGCTAGATGTCTGAAGTTATATGGACCACCTACAAAAATGTTGTATAATCCTCATCAAAATGATATTCAAAATAGCTTTTAACATAATAGTGCCAACTTTCACAATGTTTTGTTCAAAGTGGAAACAGTTCTTTCATAATAAGAAAATTTTTACCTTTTCTGCTAGTTGTTTGACAATCTCTTTCGTTGGTAAAGTTTTCAGAATAATGACAACTTCGGCTACGTTGTTGCCTTTTGTCATTGTTCCTTTCTTGAAGTCTCCGACCTATGAAAGAATAAAATAATGAGCTATGGCTGAAAAGAAATATACTTATTCAAAAAGAAAGTAGGAGAAATCTACACTATACTAAGATTTGAAACTTGAACATTTAAAAATTTATTATTATCCAAAATTTCTAATTGCCAACATAAGACTATAACAGCTAGCAAGTCCAGTCCGACGCATCTCCCCTGGCTCTGAATATAATGAGTTTAAAAATACAACTCTGTCCCTGACTAAAATATTGATAAAGCATACATAGCTCAGTTGGGGATTCAGAAAAGTCACTCAAATCAAAAAAAAATAATAGTTCCGAGTGAGTGACGCTTGTCCAGAATTTTGTTTAAAAAAGAGATGGAAAATCTCGTAATTCTCTACTTCATAATTTTGTTTCTGATAGATGAAAGTAAAATACATCTCCCCAAATAAGCCCTATTGTTATTTTTCGAGAGAAAATTAAAATAATACCCCGTCTCAATTTCGTGGAAACACGATAGTAGCCCAAGAACTTAACAAAACTTACTTGTCTGCATTCATCGACTTGAATATCAAACCCAGCAGGCTGTGATACAATGATGGAATCGATTGCATTGCATATTTTAGTCACGAACGACAGTATTGACGCTTGCTCTTCCGAAGTCACGTTCAAGTCTTGGTTTCGTTTTATTAGAGCCTGTAGGAAAGTGAGTTAAAAATAATTACTGTTTGAAATAATATGATAGATATCAAATTTTTGATAAAACAGGCTTTCAAAATAGAAATTCCTGTATTGAAAAATTAGAATAGTGGAAATAACGATTCAGAAATGTTATGATTATTAGGTAAACAAAAATGTTGAATTAGACTCCCCATATCGAAGAAAAAACAGTAAGCATTTTATGATAAAAAAATATTTATATATTAAAACTGAGGATGAATGATACGAGTTATTTGATTTAAAAAAACAAACAGTCCACGAGTCTCAGAGACGAGGAGCATATGGCATGACGGCAGATGCGTCTTATTGCACCATGCTCGTCTCGATAACAATCTAAATCGGGGCATTTAGATTAGTGCAACCTCATTAGGATAGGATTTACATATTTATCCCAGGGGAGAGGAAAGCCGATAAGACGGCTTATCCATATGGCGAACCACGGCCTCTCGTCCGGTTACCATTCCAAGTTGGGTATCGGAAAAGTTATATTATTTCGTTTTCGGGAGCATGGACTTGGTGGTGGAGGAAGCCGTAACCGACCAGCGATTACGTGAACCACCCAACGACGGCGAGGAGTCCAGCAATCCTCTCGCACATAACCATCCCTGCATGGGATTCAAACCTGCGAACCCACGTAGAGTAATTAGAGGTGCGGTGGCGAGCGTATTCCTAACGCTTAGCCCGTTGAGCCACACCGCCACGCCTAATATGATATATTTTTACCGATATTGATAAAAAACGATCTCCTGACGTCCCCGAAAAGAGGGTGTTTGCTCATCAACAGAATGGAATTCTCTAAAACGAGACAATGACTCTCGATCTGTAAAGTGTGCCGTACTGACCTGGGTAAAAGCTTCGTCATCAGGTGCTGGCTTCACTCTTGGGAAAGCTTGTTCACACATCACAAAATCAAATGGAATGTGAGGCACAAACACTCTGTTTGTTCCACGATGCATTCCACCCCGTCCACGTCCTCCTCGACCTCTCATTTTGATGTTTTGTCAAGTTAATTTAGAAAATTTTATATTTAAATTCCTAACTTTTCAGATTTGAAATCATAGGATTGAGAAAAAATCATGAAATTGAATGACCGGCACTGGTAACGGTAGCTAATGTATTGGACTCTGGAACCAAATACCGGTACCGGAACACCAGAATACCGTAAACTATACACAAATTCAATAGGGTAGAATTCTTGAAAGCTACCGTATCGGTACCGGTACTCTGGTAGGCTACTGTTAGCAAAACCCCTAGCCTATCTCATTCGAGAGTGAGAAATTAATTTTTCAATAGACACCTAATTACGCCTTAGTTCACGTAATATTCTACATGAGCGGCCACTAACTTTAGCAACAAGCGCGGCGAAAACAAGAAATCGAGACTACGGGAAGTCTTCCAGTAAAAAAATAAATAAATGTACAGAAATTATGGCAACAATTTTTTTTTATTCATTCACTAATATAATTCTCGAATAGAATTATTGCTTCGGCTATTTTTTCGCAGTATATATATTACATAACGTCAAGACTTTACATAGAAAACGTTTCGTGATATTTTTCAAATGTGGCAACTCAATGCAGAAGTTGATCACGTGTGCCAGTGACTTATCGACAGTCATAACCTTTGACCTGTCGCATTAGTTTAGGAAAAAAAGAGGTGACACTAGTTGTCCTGAGCTTTTGTTCCCAAGAACAACGTTCAAAGTCACTTTTGCTGCGAGAAAAGTGGGATTATCAGTACCCATACTCACAGACGCTATGGTACCGGTATTAAATTTGTGATACGCCAATGGGTTTTGGACCGCCATAAATAAAGTTTTGTGCCAAGACACTAGTGTCGGTACGGTACCGGTACCACCGTACAACTGGAGAATGAATGAGCTAGATTACACAGCCAATTTGTCGGCATTGCAGTCTGGCACCGGTGTGACTGTGGATACCGTATGCTACCGGTACCGTGTCGGTATACCGTAACCCTACCGGCATTATGCGGCGGTCATACCAGACCAATGTATGCTAAATGAAATAAACAATTACCGATATTAAATTAATTAAAATAACAGCAGAAGTGATCTAACAATACAATTTTACAGTATAGTAATAGCCTACTGTATTAATTTTTCATCTATCTGTCAATCAATAATGCCTTCACATTGGAATTGTTGTGTGGCAGGATGCACCTCAAATTGGAGAAATTGGAAGCAGTATTATTATGTTCCAAAAAGAAAACTAATTCTAAGATATTATATAATATTCTTAAAAACGGATGGAGTCAATTGGCGCCTCCGGAAGTCGATATGCTCAAGGCATTGGAGCACACCTCGACGGAACTTTAAACATTTGCCAGATATCAGAATACCTGGCAGTAACAGTGTAAATTTGAAAGAGGAAGTTGCTAAAGCAAGGGCCATTTGTACGCAAAAGTACAATGAGGCAAGAAATCTTTTTCAAAAAGTGAAAAAATCAAATCTTGAGTCAAAAATGGCTAGCATACTTTGCAATATGGAGAGATTGAAAATGGAAAACCAGAAAATTGAATCAGAAAGTGCTCGTTTGAAGTCTGAACTTGAGGAATTACAGTTGCTCCACAAAATTCGAAATGACCATTCATACGGAAAAGTTCGATAAGGCAAGAAATATTTTTTCAAAAAGTGAAAAAATCAAATCTTCAGTCAAAAATGTCTAGCATACTTTGCAATATGGAAAAATTGAGGACGAAAAACTAGAAAATTAAATCAGGAAATGCTTGTTTGAAGTCTGAACTTGAGGAATTGCAGTTGCTCCACAAAATTCGAAACAAAAAATAACAGATGTTTGATAGATGCAGTAGATGCGACTTATCAATTTGCCTGGAACCATTTCTTTACCTAATGTAATCCGGAATTTGCAGAAATGCTAGGAGTAGCCAAAGGAATGCTACTGAAAGAAATGAATTCTCGGCTGTAATGGTAATATGCCGCCATGTTCTACCTCTTGCAATAGTTACCTGTATGCTACAGGTTACCCAACCCACACATGGAATATTTGGAGCTTGGATAACATTTGGTTATGCTCTTTTTAGGGTACTCCCGTAGTATGTGAACCAAGAGGGCGGACATCGGAACGTAGTATGTGTACCAGGTTATGGTTAGGCCATGATTTCAGGAACAATGATGCCTAGCCAATTCAAAGCTCATGGTCTTGAGCATGTAACACTTATACTTGATGCAACAGAATTTTGTGTTGGTAGATTTCTCGACCTGAATTTGAATACATTATTCCAGGGTGGTCCAAGACTGTCGGCTCCGGGGGGCACAAAATTATTTTTGCATTGTTTGCGGCCACAATCTAAAACATACAAAAACCACCAGAAAACTTACTAAAACCTACAAAAGTCTTTTAATATCTACATTGATGTATGATTTCAACTCTTCAAACACAAATGTAAGAGCTATGGAACGTCAATAAGATTTACAAAGAAAAATCCTAACTTTGGAAAATGCTCATTGTTTACAAGATTCGAAAATGCTGTTTTAAATTATGCCCACATATAAATCAATCATTGTGTTATTTTTCCTCCCACATTCAGTTACAAATCTGTGCGTTTTCCGAAAATTTTGGATTTGCATAACATTATTGGATTGAAATGGTAATAATAATTTTTATTTATATTTAATAAAATTTCTGTGCAATTGACGATGGTGTGGAATCAATGCGACTGGTCGACAGTTTTGGTTGGGCGATTTGGCATTCGATTCCAACTATAATCAGCTTGGCAAAACCTTAGTCTTCATATTAAATACGGTTTGCTCGCGTTTACAAAATCTTCATTCGATTTGGGAACTTCTATAAAGTAATTAAAATGGTGTGGCAAACAATTCTTATTTTTTATTCTAATTTCTCTTTTACTTATTTATTAATTTCTCCTTTACTTATTTATCTTTTTTTTGTTTACTATATATTTTATCTATGCTTCTTTTTTTCCTACTTTATTATAGCCCTGTGGTTTTGTGTGTGAACTGATTCAATACTTTTAGGTAAGTGAACATGTGGCAAAACCAGTTTAATGTGAAATCTTTTTATGTTACGACTTGCTGCTTTTGCCTCTTTATAAGAGAAGTACTCGTATTGAAAGATAGGTTCAACATGAAAAGTGGCGTACAACGAGGAATAAGGACAGAGCCCAACATGTCATATTTGTGGCAAAACTGGGCATGGAATGAATAATAGAATAAATTTTATTCCAAAATTAGGCAAATATAAACCACAGGCCAAAGACCAACAAATCCGGAACAGACAAAATTTGACGAAAGCAAAATGAACAAGATAAAAAAGCAAAAATATTACGAAGAAGTAAAAAAAAAAGATGTTAGCGAAAATAACATTAGTTAAAAACAATCGTTAAATGTCAATCCGACCCAGATCACACCACCAACGAAATAAGTGAAGATTACAGTGTGAAATCATGCATAAGACCAACCCTTCATTGAGAAATGTTTGGTAATATGTTAGACATTAGTGAGATGATAGTTTCAGTAAGGAAGAAGAAATGCATTCCAATAAATCAGAAAAAAAAACTATTTTGTATTTATTAGGACCTGATACACAAAGCCAAGTTAAAAATTCAAATTTATCCGTGGACAAGTCTTTTTCTCATGAAAGGTCACCACCTAAAAAAAGAAAACATCTAGAAAGCAAAAAATAATGACTATAAAAGAACCAAAAATGTGTGTAATTCTAGGGTTTACTTTTAAAGAAAGAACAATCAAACAACTACATTGTAAAACTCCTTTATTCACTGGTAAGTGGAGAAAACGACAAGAACATACTGTAATCTGTAGCTTATTATGAGAATCCACTATTGACAATTACTGTTTGATATTCAAATGCATTCGATATTTACTGATGTTTTTTTCTTTCTGATGTTAACTAACATTTTCATAGACATTGTGAAACTGCTTTAATACAATTTAAAATTGACAACATGGGGTTTCCGCTGGTACCATTTGTATTAACAATACCTTCTAGTCTAAAATGTTTTCAAAATAAATTCTCTTGTCATGCATGATTGTTAATTATAGTAACATATGTATAAATAACGACAAATATCATGGAATCAGGTTCCACGCAGAAGTTCTTGTTTGTCTACAATAAACTCTCTCAAAATGTAGGGTGTCTCAAAAATGTCGAGTCTCACTTCTCCATAGTGTCGCACTTGTACCATTTGTCTCATGTGTCGCACTTGTAGAACTTTTTCCATCTGGGCCACTTGACCCAAGTGTTCCACTTGAAACATTTGTCGCAAATTTCCCGCTCGTCCCACTTCTCTCACGTGTTGCATTTGTCCAACTTGTATCACTCGTCCCACGCGTGTCACTTGTATCATCTGTCACACTTGCCCCACTTGTATTACGCTTGGCGCCTGTTTCTTTTGTCCCACATATCGCATTTGCACCACATGACGCACTTGTCCCACTTTTATCATGTGTCCCACTTGTTTCATATGTCACACTTAATCTATGTGTCGCACTTGTCTGTGTCGCACTTGTCCCCCTTGTATCACGCTCGGCACTCGCCCTACGTAACCCACCAGTTTCACGTGTTGCACTTGTCACACTTGACCCACATGTTGCACTTTTCCCACGCCTGTCACTTGTACCACTTCTACCGTTTTTTTGCATGTGTCCCACTGGTATCACGCTTAGAACTCGTCCCACCTGTCCCATTTGTCTCACGTGTCCCACTTGTATCACGTGCCCCACTTGTCCCTAGTGCCCACTTTTCCCACCCATCACATTTGTCCCAAGTGTCCACGCGTCGCACTTATCCCACGTGTCTCACTTGTACCTTTTTTGCACATATCCTTCTTGTATCACGCTTGACACCTGTCCAACGTGTGTCACTGGTATCACGTTTCCCACGTGTCGCACATGTACCATTTTTACCACGTGTCCCACATGTCGCACTAATCCTACTTGTATCACGCTTTGCAAATATCCCACTTGTCTCACATCCCACGTGCGCACTTGTCTCACTTGTATCATATTTCGACGTGTCGCACTTGTCCCACGTGTCACACTTGACCCACATGTT